GTTCCTGGCTTTTATCCCCTTTCTCCTGCTCTTCCGGCCTGCTACTCTGGGCGGGCCTGAGTTTCCTCTCCTCACCTAATCCCTTCAGCTGATTGCTCTTCTCTCTGGCTTCCTGGCTTTTAATCCCCTTTCTCCTGCTCTTCCGCCTGCTGCTTTGGGCGTCCCTGAGTTGTCTTTCCTCACCTGTAACCCTGGGGCTGACTGTTCTTCTGTCCGGGTTCCTGGCTTTTATCCCCTTTCTCCTGCTCTTCCGGCAACAGTATGACAGAAAGAATGTAAGATTGCTTGGCCATTTTCTGTTGGTTAGGTGTTGAGATGAATGCTTTGGCTACTGCATCTGCTTTTAAGGTGATTTACTGGAAAATGTCAGTTAGGTGGCTCATGTCATCTTTGTATTGGAGGACGACAATGGCCTAGGCCAAGGAGCTCTGGTGGTGCAGTGGTTAAAGCTCAGCTGCTAACCAAAAGGTCGGCGGTTGGAACCCACCTGTGGCTCCAAAGGAGAGAGGTGAGGCAGTCTGCTTCCATGCAGCCTATGGAGCGGTTCCACCGTCCTAAAGGGTCACTGTGAAGCGGAATTCACTCCACGGCAGTGGGTTTGCTTTTGTGGGTTTGGCCCAGCACGTTCCTGTTAACGCCCCCTCCCACCCCCACCCTCAGACCTTAGTTCCCACCTTAGATAGTCTGCAACTCCTCAGCGTTCCTTGTACAACTCCTCTCCAGTTTGTGACTCCATCCCCAAGACACCGCCATTCACGAGACCCCTCCCTCAGGCTCACTCATCCCATGAGCGCCCCCATTTCCTCCCTCTGCCCCGCCCTCAGGCCAGCCCTGAAGCCTATAAACTCTGCACCCATAGATGGGGACTCCCATGGGCTTCCCCTGCTCCGCAGGGGACGGTGCTGGACGTCCACCCCCCGTCACGCCCTCAGTGCCCCCCTTCCTTTGCCACAGTGCTGTTCCTGCCCCCATGTCCCTTTCCCTCCTCCCCAATGTCTCCGTCGCCTGAGCCTGCGTCTCTCTCCGCAGCTATAATTCTGCCCCCATTAAGCCCCTACACCAAGTACTCCAGCATGATCAACAAGGCCACCCCCTACGCCTACCCAGGTGAGTGGGAGCCGGGGAGGGCCCTGGGGACAGGTCCAGCCTCTGTGCCAGGGGAAGGATGGTTAGGGGTGCGTCTCCCCTCAGCATACCTGTGTGGTTCTCCTCTGCCCTGGAGGGTCACTATGAGTCAGAAGCCACTCAACGGCAGTGGCTTTGGCGTTTGGTTTTCTTTCCTCCGCAGGGATCTGACCTTTTCAGGTTGACGGGTATTGTACCTACTGTAACATCCGCCCCCACACACCAAACCTGTCCAATTTTGTGCTCTGAGTTTCTGTTGTCTGTCTGGATTTCTGTTCCTCTCTGAAGGAGCCCTGGTGGTGCAAGGGTTAAACACTTGGCTGCCATCTAAAGGGCTGGTGACGCACTCCCTTAGACTCCAGCCAAGGAAACCCTATGGGGCGGTTCTCCTGTCACGGGCTGTGGCGGGAGTCAGCTTCGACTCCACGGCACCCACAACACGCGCTCCTCTGGGTTCTGTCCGTTGCCGTTGGCTTTTGTCTTTGTGGGTCCCCATCCCTCCAGGTCTCTGTCCCCCGCTTTCTC